CGATACCTGATCCCAAAGTTTTTAGATATATGCACTGATACCAATATTGGTATTGGATCGGTGCATCTCTAGTACTTGTTCTAATCTCCCTGTTTGTATTTGTAATTATTTCTTAACATGTTTTTATTTTGACTTTCCTCCAAGAGAAATACATGCTCGCTTCCATTCTGGACCTGCCATTCGATGTTTGTTTCTCTTTCCTTTTTTCTCAAACCCCAGCTGGTCGAAGCAGACGATGCTCATCCTGAGCCTGGTTCTGCTGGAGGTTTCTTCCTGTTAAAAGGGAGTTTTTCCTTTCCACTGTTGCCTTTGTGCTTGCTCAGGATGGGAGACTGCAACGAAAGGAAGATTCAACACAACCTGCTGGCTTCCTTAGATAGAGAATGTAGTGAACAGGGCCTAGTTCACTACAAGAACTTTTACTAATTTGCTTTTATAATGGATGTGGATGCTTTTGTACAGTGCCCTGCGATGACTTCGGTTGTTTCTTGGCACTATATAAATAATCCGACTTGAATTAATTATTTTTTGATCATTTAAGTGATCTACTGTATAGTATTAGCTGAATGTATAAAAGGAAAAAAGCATACCTTATAGCATCATATCATATATTGACTGCTGCGTACTTTTACAAACGTGGTCATTCTGTGGTTATATTACCAATAAACTGACACTTTGATCCGTACATTTAAGGGTGAAATGTTAAAACTGGGACCTCGAATGGCCCCTGACATGGGAAATATCCAACAATCCTTGTGGGACCATTGATTAAAAAAAAAATAATCTGTGCTCCTAGAACTTAACCATTCTGCACTAATTTGACGTCTTCTTTTTTATTTATTTATTTATTTATTTTCATGCCTAATCCCCCACCTCCAATTCCCTTGACCCTAATAGGATACATCTAACATAAGCTGAAAAGTTGCTTTATGCTTTGTAGCAGTCATTGGATTTGAGTGTCCAGGTGAGGATGCACGCACGAGAGTAATGGCTGTTAAATTAGTCACATCTGTAACCTTTTCTCAGTTTTCTGTCGCATCAGCAAACAACAGAGACGTTTGTATCTGAGACCGAGGTCGTTTAGCCTCCAAGTTTTTGGCTCCAATTTGAATTTTCCTTTACTAAATAAATATAGCTGCAGCTGGTGCTGTTTTATAAGCGTCCAGTTGGAAACTCAAATCTAATTATGTCACGGCAGATAGCTTGTGGTCTTAATATTTTTACGCTAAAGAAGAGCGTATGAATGTAGGAATATAAACTCGTTTATTTTTAGAATAAACCACACTTCTAAAATTCATTATTTATTAGTATGATGAGCTAATAGTAAGGCATCAGTTAACAAATTCTTGTAAAACTTGACATGGGGTGACGTCCTCTCCTCACTGACGGGGGTTTTGCCCCGGTTTGGTCTCTGGCATGTGGTGTGACCTCACGCTCCCCGCCTGGCAACATGGCAGCGATGCTGTGAAATGTCACTTCGCCATTTCTCACAAAGGCAGCGAGTTGCTGTGGGGCTTTCTACATGGTGGCAGGAAACAAACTGGAACAACATTCTTAGTTAAAGGTCAGGCATAAAAGCTCATGAATACAGACAGAACTGCTGTATCCATTTTTTATCATCAGGCATTTATGTTACGCAGATGTGCATGGACGTTAATGAGCTTAACATTGTGTGATATTTTATTCATTGATGTGTTTAGAACATGCAGAACTTCAAGACCAAAATATATTCATTGCTTATGCAACTGATCTAAATAAGCAGATTTGAAAAAAAAAAAAAAATTACAAGAGTATTTCAGTAAAACCGGAGAATGGAAGCTCACGGTTTTCTTTTTCTCTTTCCCAGCTAATACATTTTCTGTCTATTTGTTAAGATGCTATTTGCTCAGCTCATGCTCTGTATTTCCAAAGCTTGATCTGCAGAAAATATAACTCACCAACTGCTACAATTAAAAAACAAAACTTTATTAGTATAAAGCTTTAGAAAATGCAACCGCATCAAAGCAAATTCACATCTCCATCTTTTACCTCTTTGCGGTGGTTGGGTTACAGAGGCATCAGGTCCAGGAGAGAAACCCAGACATACCTCTCCCCAGCGACACTTTCCAGCTTGTTCAGGAGGACCCCATGGTGAGGAGATACACAATCCCTCCAATTACTTCTGGGTCTTCTCCGGGGCCTCCTACTGTTGGGCGTTCCTGGAAAATCTCTAAAAGGAGGCGTCAAGGAGGCCTCCTAGTCAGATGCCTGAACCTCCTCAACTGACTCCTTTCAATGCGTAGGAGCAGCGACTCTACACTGGGCTCCCCCAGATGATGGAGCTCCTCACCCTTTCACCAGGGCCGAGCCCAACCACCCTGCAGGAAACCCGTTTTGGCCACTTGTATCCAGGATCTCGTTGTTTAGATCATGAGCCAAACCTCATGACCAAAGGTGAGAGTTGGAACGAAGATACCAGTAAGTAGAGAGCTTTGTCATTTGATTCAGCTCTTATTTCACCACAAATGACTGAAACAACTTCCTCATTACTGACGAGGCCCCAATCCATCGATCCATCTCCTGTTCCATCCTACCATCACTCGTGAACAAGACACCCAGATACTTAAACTCCTCCACCTGAGGCCGTCTCTCAAGTCTATCAAAGCAAGTTAATTTTAATGTGTATATTAAGAATGACTTCTTTATTTTTATTGTTATAATTCTTACAAATGTGGACAATGTGAATAAATACAAATATCTGAACATTTCATTTTGACTGCATGACAACACTGAAATGACCATAAAATAAAGCTCACTGTCATGTTCTCTGGAAATATCTCTATTAATTAAGGCGATTTGCCAGATGTTTTGAAAACGGGTTCTTCTGAAAGGCCATTAAAAATTATTATCTTACCTGTTGTAGATAGCTCTTTGAATGACATTAGTTTGGGGAAATTGAGTTTAAATATGATTGAACTGATAAGCTAACAGCTAGTCTGAGTGGGCTAAAGAAGATCGCTGCCATTTTTAAAACAAACCAAATCTTTAAAAAATTCACAACGGTTCACACAAATGCAATTTTTTTAAAACCTTTACATGTTTTTAAACTACTTTTACATTTCTTCTTCTGTGGTTATTTCAGCAGAAATATTTTGATATTTCTGTCACAAGTGGCTCAAGCTGCACAGGATCACCATTAGTTTCACTTGACATGATTATTTACAGAATTTAGTCATTTTTAAACCCAAACAGTGGCAGCGGCAGATAGCTGTAGCACTTCCAGCTCTGTAATCTGGTTGGATAACCGTACACCCCCAGAATAACCTCATAATACAAAACTGACAGCAATGTCT